TTTGTCCCAGGTGAATATTGTTTCTATCCCTGTCCCATGTCACACACAGAATCTTACGGTTGCCCAACCCCTTCAGCAGGGCACAGGGCAAGGGTTTGGCTTAGCCCTCTTAGTTCATTTGCTGAAGGCCAGGCTTCTGTGAACACAAATCAGAGCTGTGAATACTCCACATATGAACATGGACAAAACTGACACGTGACTATTTGCATTAACAAAAGCTAGATTGCAGAGAGACAGTTATATGCACAAAATTATTTTTCAAGGGAGCATCTTTCACTCACAGCAATCTGGAATATGCTGCATCCACATCAGTAACATGCTCTTTGCTAGGGTTGCCCATCGAGATTGCCATACCAGCAAAGCTGTAGCACTGCAGACTTAGCCGGGCCTATAATCTACTTTTGATCTTGGCAGTAACTTCCCACTGACATAATTGATAGGTCTGGTTTCAGTCATGGAGTTCACAGAGCCTAACATTTACACTCTGACCCATAATCATATTTAGAATATACACACACCTCTTCCCGCACAGAGAATAAAAAGCTGCACAGTACATCTTTACAGGAAGACTGTAAAGATTCCACTCATCCATCCCTAAAGACAGAAGTCCTTTTCAAGGTTTTTCATCATGCTGTGCAATAGTTGTTAATGATGTCAACCTCCTATAGGTATCATACAAAGAAGACCAGGGAAATAACTAGGATACAATTTCATTATCCACATAAAAAATGTCCTTTCTTACAGCAATCCAGTTATTGAGGAAGTACTGCATGTTATGAGATATGACCAAGATATTTCTTTCATCAAACATAATGAAGCTGGAACAAACAATGTGAGACTTAACATACCTGTGACTTTTTACCTCAGGAGACCAACACAAAGCAGAAGGTTTTATCAAGTTATTTCATTATAAAAGTGACTGATATGCATGCTTAAAACATGCACTGAGGGAATGAGAGGCTGCAAAATATTAAAGTAACCCTAGACCACATTAGCATAGCCTTGATCTGCAAGAACAGTACTGGCAATAAACTTTAGCTCAGTACTGATTTTTTTGAACTTCACCACAGTTTCTTGTAATATCCTTTGTTAAGTCAAATCTTAAGTTCAAATGCAGTGAGCAAATTGCCCCATGTGTTTAAGTCTGGTCTTGATTTGTACAAAAGGCACATTCTATTTCTTCAAAGGTTGACTGAACAAAGTCCAACAACTGCAAACAAAGGATGCTGGTTTTGTTTCAAGTTAGCAGCTGAAGCTAAAAGATGTGATGCTTATGTTGCCTTTACTTAAAATCGTTATACCATAGTAATCTAGAAAGCACACAATAAAAATTCCCCAGTAGATCTGCAATAAAAATATTATTTAAGAATATTTTTAAAGGGCATCCGATTTGCCGTCACCAAAGGAGGAGGATCAGTATTCCTTCAGGTGACCAGAGTGCCTGTCCAGGGAAAATGTTCCATTTTCTATAGATCTGAGCTTCTGTAACTCAAAACAGTACAACAAATCTTAAAAGAAATGGAAACATGGAACCTATTTCCCAGAAGGCACCGCACCAACCACTGCAGCTTTTAATAGGTTTACGGCTTTATATGTATTGTAATTCCCCTTTTGGCATCCCATATTTTTAGGGGGTTTTATTCACTTTCTTCTGGAACTGAAAGTTTTTCTTCTCATAAACCAGTCTGTTCCAGAAAACGATCATAATGGCATTTTGCTGTTGCTTGGGAAGAAGGTGACCAGAGCTCTGCAGTGCTGAGGTGCAGTCAGGGACCAGCTGTGCCATGAGCTGCCTCCCCAGGGCCTGTCCCAGGGCACTGCTGCACCTACGGTATTCCAGCACAATTCCCCAGACACATATTGGATACATTCCTTGGGATACAAGGTCAACTATTTTTAAAAGTCAGGTTTTCAGGGGGCTTCCTTCTCTGAACCCACTAGTCTCAGTGCACCAGATTTGCCTGGACAAAATCCCAAAACAACTTCCTTAACAGAAGAGTATCACTCCTATTCAAAAGACACAGTGAAAATAGGCAGCCTTGTAGGGAAGCACTTCCTTTCAGAAATTATGGTACACATGGATATTTCACACATTAGGATACTGCCAACATTCTCCAATGTCAGCTGTTACCACACCTGTAGAAACTGGGCCATGCAGTTCATTACTAGCAGCTATCACTGCAAAGCCAAGTGTTCAACACAACATTGCTTCCATGGCTTTGATTAAGCAAATCACATGCACTAAATGAATGAGGAAATATTGTCTAAATCCTCATTTCAAAGTTATTATCTAAATTATTTGTTTTCCTATTCTGTTGTATTCGTTTTGATAAGCGTTTAATTTCACATCAAGTGATTTTTTTCTTCTAAGTAATGAGATCATCTTCTGCCAAAAGCTTTTCTTTTTGCTTGCTTTTTTTGTTTTGTTTCATAAAATGAAATCATTGCCATGTAATCCAGACTAATAGCTTCCCTGACAATCTATCAGCAAAATACAGGGATACGTGGCTCAAAATACAATACAAGCAAAATATAATAAATTCAAACCTACCTTCTTTAGGCTGTCATAACTCCTGATGAACACTGGCTATATGTGATACACTCCACATCACTACTAATGGCTCTCCAAGGACTATATCTGTAACGATTTGCCAGTGATACAGCCTGGATATCCTTTGCTATGAAACCTAAAATACGATACACATATCCTGTAATTCCAATTAAGAACTTGATTTCATTACGTATTTCATTCTTCTCAGAGGGAACAGGTATGAATTAAACAGGCAATGCATGAAACAAAGCCTTAAAAAAGGGAAAAAGAATATCAAAGACCTATAGCTAAATCAAAAATAATCTGGAAAATACACCAGTTCTTTAATTTAGACCAACTCTGCCTAAGCCTAAATGGAAAAGTAAAACTGGAGGGAAGAGATGTCATCCAGGGGGACCCTGACAGCTGTGAGAGGTGAGCTTGTGCAAACCTCACAAAGGTCAGCAAGGCCAAGTGCAAGGTCCTGCACCTGAGCCCGGGCAATCCCAAGAACAAATACAGGCTGAATGGAGAACCGAGTGAGAGCAGCCCTGGGGAGAAGAACTTGAGGGGTGTTGGTGGATGAGGGGCTGGATATGGGCCAAATGCAGTGTGTTTGCAGCCCAGAGAGTCAATTGTGTACTGGGCTGTGTCACAAGTGTGACCGGCAGGTTGAGGGAGGGGTTCTACCCCTCTACCCCACTCTTGTGAGAGACCTGCAGTGCTGTGCCCAGCTCAGGGACCCCCAGCATAACAAGGGCATGGACCTGCTGGAGCCAGTGCAGAGGATGGTCACAAATATGATCAGAGGCTGGAGCACCCCACCTATGACAACAGGCTGAGAGAGCCAGGGCTGTTCAGCCTGGAGAAGAAAAGGCTCCAAGGAGACGTTAGAGCACCTTCCAGTATGCAAAGAGGGCTACGAAGAGAGGTGGGGAGGGACTTTGCATGGACAAGGGCATGGAGTGATGGTACAAGGGGGAATGGCTTTAAACTGAGAGAGGGAAGATTTAAATTAGACATTAGGGAGAAATTCTTGGCTGTGAGGGGGGTGAGGCCCTGGTACAGGGTGGCTGCCCCATCCCTGGAAGTGTTCAAGGCCAGGCTGGAGGGGGCTCTGAGCAACCTGGGCTAGTGGAGGTGCCACTCCCATGGCAGGGCAGTGGAACAAGATGGTCTTTAAGGGCCCTTCCAACTCACACCATTCTGTGATTTTATGGTATATGTTTATGCATGACCTTAAATCCTCTCTTAGTGAGTGATTCTTGTAAAAACCACCTATTGCAAAACCTTCACTTATTTTGAAATAGATTATTTTCAGAGGAGAGGAATTAGGAGACAAAATCAGGAATATACAGTTTCTTTGAAAGTTGGACCTTAGGTTATGCTAGTTGAAATATCTCAGAACTGTTCCTAAAGTTGCATTATTTCTTTAAATGTTCGTGATTTTTGCTACTGTGAAATTTTCTAAGATTAATTTATAACAAAAATTATCACCACCTCCCTGGGATCCCTGGGGACAGTTGTAAAAGCTTTTACACAGGCTTTTTTTTTCACTAAAAAGAATTATGGCAAACTTCTTCACCCATTTCAAAATTTACATTATATATGACCTATAAAAATATAATCACATTCTTATTTCTTTATTTGAATTTCTTATTTCTGCAGCAAAAAGGAGTGGAAAATGTGACATTAAATGTTCTACTCAGCCTTTAAGTATGAGTAAATCACTTATTTGAAATTTTTGTGTTAACTTATCTCCTGACAAATACTATACAGAATGGACAGGCAGGGGTAACATATTGAGGAATTTGTTTGGTGCCATTTGGAGACTGTCATTTCAGAGCAAATGGAATTCAGTTTTATCTCTTTTGCATTAACAAAAAACTGATGTATTTAAATTGTAATAACTTTTGTAGAATTTCACATAGTAATTTCACTAATCTGGAACAAAGAAACTGGAACACATATTTTTCAATACAGAATGTGGTTGTCAGAAACACAATAACTTTTTCTAAAATAATTAAGAGGATTAAAATGGCGCTGTAGTTATATAAAGAAAAAAACCCCAAATTTTAATTACAAGTTGCTCTCCAAATATGCTTCTGACCTAAGATTCAAGGTCCTGAGCAAAGGTGCATCTTTATTAGACCTTCTGTATCAAAGTGAAATTACTGCATTTATAATAAATTGTGCATTTCTGTAATTTGGCAGTAACACAAAAAACCTCACAACGTATTTTGCATTCTTATTCTGTTTTGCATTATGAGATTCCCAGAGCCCATTACAAGAACCATTTACATGTAATTCAGTAAGATTTTAGAAACAGTATATTGGACAAAATGTTTTAATCAGACAGAGTGCAGAATTAGACCTAACAAATATATAGTATAAAGCATTTATCCAATCCTTTGCCAAAGTTTTGAAAATGTATTTTTTTAGTGCAACATTTTTTCATCTTTCAACTTACCTCTCTTTTTTTTTCTAGAGGAGGTGAAAGTCCATGAGTAATAAATTCAGATCTACCATGAATGGGCTTGATTTCCTCAGTCACCTTCAGGAAATTGCCCTAAGCCAGGGGTGTAAGTTGGAAAACATCGTCAGTGTATTGCAACCGTGCAAACATTTCTAGTTACACCTAGATTTTAGAGAGTTATCTTCCACAATATACCTTGTAGCTGAAAAACACTATAATTGACATTTTTAAGGAGGGCAGGGACAGAATTCTTCAATTTTAGGGTACAAACATGGTTGAGGTGCTTACCTGAGGCTGATTCCAGAACCTGCATTTTTAAATGTGCGTTCCTGCACTGCCAGATGAACCGGCTGCCAGGCACGGACTGCAGAGCAGATTGGACCATCTGTGAGGGAACATGACAAGAAAGGTTTCTACCCCATGGTCTGAATTCTTCCTCTGCAGGAAATTCCAGTACAAGATGCCAAATGGAATTTGGAAATTAAGAACAAATAATAATTTTGAAGTTATAATTAGAACACAGAAGAGCAAGGAGTACATAGCAGGAGACTGAGCTATTAAATCTCCAGGGAAAAGGCAGCTGCTGCTTCTGTGCTCTTCCTAAGGGTGGTGGGAAGGCACTGCAAGCCAGCAGTGGCTGCCCTGGGTTTCATGGTTTTGTGCCTCAGCACAGAGTGAAGAAATACATGCAGATAAAGAAGAACAGGTCCATGTGCCACAGCAAGTACGGACTTAGAAAGGTTTGCATCCCATGGATGAGGCTTTCTCAGTGGTGCTGCTCTTCTCCATAGTAAATGTGGTTTAGTCTGCTGACCTGTTCTCCAACCACCACAAACCTCTTAGTCACCTTGAAAATTCATAAGACTGACGCCTGTGTTTTGCCCTGCAAGTTATTCAACAAATAAGACATCACATGATAAGGTTTTGGAAAAGACAAGTATCATGTTCCCAAGTCAGAAGCCCTGTTTGCTTCCCTGCTCTTAAAATCTGCCCTGTATGGCCTAAACACAATATATTTGAGGTTAAAGTTTTGATGTGGGAACATAACAGAAAATGTATTCTGTTAACATTTATGTTCACTGAAGAAGTATTCATTTCAAAATTACTTCTGAGACATAAAAATAGCAGAAATATGCAAGGGGGAAAAAAAAGTTCAACATTTTTCTTAAGCTTTGCTCCCATCTGTTAGATTGAAGGATTCAATTAGATACAACATTATTACTTTGACTTATATAACACCTTCAGAAAATACAGTGTCATTTACAGAGCCTCACCACACTCTGGAAAAATAAGTACTATTCTGCTGCCTTTATCTAATGGGACACCTGAACCAGCAGAAAGCAGAGTGACTTACCCATGAGTTAACAACAGGAAATTAGAGCCATAGAAAGAAACCAGATCCAAACACCTGGTTCCTAAACTCACATTTTAAACACTAGATATGATGTTACTGCTTACAGGTTGACTGATTGTGGAATTGTGTGAAGTCGTTTCTTAACAGGCACCAAAACTGTTCAGAAAAAACAGTTTGAGAAAAAAAAAGGCTACTTTTCTCTGCTTTGTTTGCTTTCCAATCTGTAAACTACACTAATGCTGCCATTAAATACACCTGCCTTGGGGGGTTTTTACAAAAAAACCCTGATGTTCCACAATATGTGTACATTGTTTTCTAAGGGAACTTCTTTAAACAGTAAACAGTACTGCAGTAAGTGGGAGACACATATAGTTTGCTTGAAAGCCCCATGGTCAGGTGAGTTGAACCATGGCTTACCAGTGTCAGGGAGGAAGTAAAGAATAAGGGAGGGAATTATCAACTGATAAAGATGCAAAAAGAAACACAGAATTGAATCTCAGCAGTGCCCTTGCTGATCTCACTGTCTATGTAATTCATAATGATATTCTGGGATTCCCCTCATCATAAAAATGTGCAATTGTAGCACCAAAAATATACTTCTCATCTTAGTACTTGTAATTCTTGACCAGGGCTTTAAAAATCTTTTAAATAACTAAGTAGGCCAAGCTTTTAAGTATCTCTCTTACATTCGAGAAGGTTCCTGAGCACTCAAGTCACTTTATAGGACGCTGTACCCCTTTAATATTGTACTGGATATTGTTGTTCTGTCTCAAAAGGCATTATGGACTTTTCTGGTGAAAATTTACAGTGAAATATAGAAGAAAACAGAAGTAAAAATTTGAGCAACCCCCAAATTGCAGGTCTTTAATGTCATATATCTGACACCTGTATGGATGTGACTGAGAAATGAAGGCTGACATTCAACCCTGAATAAACATGCATGAAAGAAACTTGAGAAGTAGGTTTACACAATAAATTTTGTATGTGTTTGCAAAGTGTGTTGTGGTCAGAGACATTGCTCTGCTTGTTTCCTTCTCCTCCTTTATATCCCAAGCAAGTTACTAAAAGAGGAGTTTTACCATCATTTTGTTTGAGTTATGTCTGTGGCAGCTCTCTTGGTTATTGACCTTGCAGTCCCTCAGCACTGCTTGCTTTCAGCCCTTTGCTCAGCTTCCTCTTCAAAGTAAAGGCACTTCTCAAGCACTTTGGTGAACCACAGCTACTTAAAAGCCACAAGCACAAACTGGTCATTTGGCAAAGAATATATTATTCTTACTCAACTGACGTAATCAGACTTTCTCAATTAGCACTTATGGATGCAGCATATGCTCAAGGGCTTGTTTGCAATGCACTTGTCTGCAGTAAGTGTGACTCCCAGATGGAGAACTAGCTTTGTCTTACCCATGTTGCCACCCATAAAATGTTTCCACACACAAATGAAGGAACACAGGGAAAAAAAAAGAAAGTGGAGCTAGAGAAAACACCCTGATGGGGTTTCTTTTTAATTATATGCCTGCTTTTTTGGCCTATTCCACAATGCTGAAAATGAATACCACAGATGGAGGGTGGGTGTTAAAAGCCTATTGAATACTGAAATTTTACTAATCTGTTATAACAGGAAACATCTGTGCTAAATGCAGTATTTAAAAGCTCTTCCCATTTCAGTTGTGGAACATCAGTATTTACAGGACAATACCAAGAAATTGTTTGAATTCGTGGTCATGGTCACTTCAAATCTAATACTGACTGATTTCTTTCTGTGAATCATTTCAACAACTATGGACATCAGAATACCAATGTACACAATCAATTATCCTATGGTTTATCCAGACATCAAAGATTTGCAGTTCCAGAACTAACAGAGACACCAGCATTTAAATTCTTTCTAGTAGGCTACATTCATTTCTATTTGTGTGAACAAAGTCAACAATTCTTTTATCAATTTGGAACATTTTCAGGCAGTTTTTCAGACCAGATTTTCAGAAAGTTCGGAGAAGATTTTAAATGCATGTTTATCCTAACTGATGCTTAAAGTATTAAGGCTTCTTCATTCCTTAAGTAAGCTAATTTTCTATCCCATAATCTTGTCTAATCTTGTAGAAATGTAGGAACTGCACAATATATCAGATCCAAGAGTCTACCCAATCCAATATCTAAGTTCTGCTAGGACAAGCAAGAGCTGTGTCAGGTCCTAGAACAAGCAAAATGTTTGGGGTCGAGAATTAAGCACCTGAAACACTCTGCTCCTCCCAAATCTACTCTGTACACATTAATCCTATTCTTCCTCTTTCAGCTTTCTTGTCTGTTTGCTCTTCCTTTTTCATAAAGACTCGATTTCAGTGACAGCAGCTCCATGGGGATGCAGGTTTTGCTCCTGTGAGCATGTTAAGCTTTAAGAGTCATCATCAATCAGCACTTGAATGTTTATTGTCTTTCAAGTTCCTTTACTCGGCACAATTCTCTGCCTTTTGTTTAAGTGTTTTCGTGTGTATCCTCTTCAAATATGTTACTTGCAAGAAGCCCTACTTGTCTTGTCCTTGTTGCCTTCTTTATCAAGAACCATCAATCAATATTGAATACAGAGGTTAGAAAGGGAAGGGAGAGAACACTGTTGGTTTTACTATGGATTCACCTGTTTCAGATATGCTTCTCTTTGATGTGAGGGAGGTGAGCAAGCAAGGCAGCTTCAAAAAGCATTGCTCTTGTGTTGGTTTTGCTTAAAACCATCAAGCTCAGTCCTCAGGGGGGAGGGATGAGTTTGGGCTGGGTCTCAGTCTGCCAATGAGCTTTACTGCAGGTGTTGAGCTGTTTCTTACACAGACCAATGGAGGGAAATGTCCTCAGCAGGCAGGGTGGGCTTTCCAAAAGCACATCTGTTCTTCACAATTACATCTATTGACAGCACAGTGCTGATTGATGGAAGCTTTCCTACATGCCACAGCTCTAGAGAAAGCTGCTTTAGCAATGATCAGTTCAATGTAAAATTTTACAGGCTGTATAGTCACCCCTGAAACAGGGCACTGACAACAGCAAAAATCCAAAACAGAACTAAGAAAACAGGTGGATAAAAAGTCTGCAGCTGCACTACCCTTTCCTGTAGTGCATAACCATGCAGAAGTTCAGCCCTGGCTGCTGAAGAATAGAACTAATAGTAATGAAAGGCAGGGAGCAGGCCAGCTCCTCACCTATTTTAAGGCAGGGGTAATAGCAAGCACACAATATTCTACACATAATTGGAGAGCGTGGCCAGTCCAGATGTGTTGAGATTTGTTCTCCCCTTTTATTTGGTTTGTCTAATCTGTACTTTTCTGATTTGTCAAGCTTTCAGGGACATACCCCAAGAGAACACAGTGTACCCATGAGAAAGACAAACACACAAGCCAAGAAGCAGCATTCCTCTAAGGCAACTAAACAAGTAATGCATTGTTGCAAAAAGCACTCAGCTAACATTGAAGTAAACAAACTAGAGAACGCCTTTTTTAAATTGGAAGTAGGAGCAGATGACCCACTTATTGTACAACTATATTTATGCTTGGCAGTTGTATTTGGGTTCTCTTCTTTGTTTAGAGCTGTTTATAATACGAACTACTCAGTGTAGCATATTTAAAAATTATTAAAAGGTACAAATATACAAAATGTGCTAAACTTGAAACAAAACTTAAAATTGCAAGAATGCATTGGCTAGTCCCAGATGTGCACCCAAGGAAAGTGAGATAGTATTCTGGGTGATGAGTCATGGAAGAAGACTACCTTAATCAGGAGCTACAGAGCGTGAAATGCATCTTGCAGGAGAAACTCCTGTTTCACAAAACTATGGTCATGCAAATGAGTGGTTTTCTTTCATATCAGAAAACAAAATCTGCTGATCAATTATTTACTTGTGAATTTAATACTGAAAAGTCTGATGGCTCAATAGCTGTTGCTGTAAAGGAAGTTTCAGACTCACGTGCAGCTGCTGTATGTTTGACATAGGCCATGAATCCACACACAAAACTCCATCTAAAACTGTCTCTTCGGAGTTATTTCATATTTAAAAATCCTAGGAAAGATAAAACGGGAAGAATAAATTCTGGATTTAAAAACTGCATTAAAAATTCAACCACATAAAAATTTTCTTGCTCTATAACCTCAGATGTATTAGCATCACCATCACATGAATCTTTTTTCAAATGCTAGCGGCTTATTATAGGAACACAGGGTGGATCCTCAGCTGGTGAAAATCATTAGAGCTGCACAGAAGCCAATTTATGCTAGCTGAAGTTCTGGTCCATAAAATATCTTCTAAACCTGAAAGAACATCTTGTACTACAGTGTTATTGGTCTTCAGGTGATTGAAAACCATCTTGATGAACGGTGTGGTCTCAGGGAAAAAGCAGGACTGTACGCCTGACAAATTTCTGCCCTGTGTTCCCTGATTTAACTTGATTAGAAAGAAACATTTAAGCAAAAACTTGCATGGTACAATGCATCATTAGTCACATGCTGCTTCTCAATAGTGAAACCATCAATTTTGTTTCAGATGTCTAACTATAATTGGAACATTAGCCAAGAAGCAGATGGGGATTGTGATTGAGGGTTTACCTCCTGGGTATATATTGTACAAGCAGCATCTCAGCAGAAGAGAGAAGGTTATCAAGCTCTCTTACAGGACATGCAAACTAGATATAAACACACCAGCATAAGCTAGAAATCGGCCTTAGGACACTGTGTGTTTAAGAAAAGATAGCATTTCATATAAAGCAGGCAAAGCATTGGCCTCCATGCAATACTAAACAGGCATTTTATCTGTTTCACAGAAGAGCAGTTTGGATTCCGTATTTCTAAATTTAGAATGCAGATCACTACAGTTGGTATGAGTGATTTCAATGCGGGCAATGAAGTAATGTGCAAATGCTGGTTGTTATGGGAAAGAGAGTTCGTATCTACAGAATAGCTCCTTTTTTAAAATGGATCCTTTACATTTTAAGGCTAACTTATTTAACCATAGCCATAACCATATTAAACCTTACATTTAAGAACTTAATTTCAGATATTTTTTAAGAATCAAGGTTTTTGCAAATACCAAACTATCCATTTGCCTTATCCAGAGCATGAGTAACAAACATATTCAATTCTAAAGAATAAACTTTACACTCACTCTTGACAGTAACATCAGGACACAGTGTAGCTTGCATATTCCAGGTGTCATTTTCCTCCATCAACCACACAGCTTTCTTTATAGTACCTGAGATTTCTGTTCCCTGATTTTCTAGTGCCTGTGTTTATTCAGCTGCTGTAAATTTTGTCACTGCCAGTGACTGCAGCAGAGCAGTCTTACAGTTCATATGGCCCCAGCAGAGCAGCAGACAACTATTAGTGTCTCAGATACATCCAGTTTCACTCAGCATCCTCCATGACTAACTAATAAGAAGACCCAGAGCATCCTCTTTTTTCCAGAGGATTCTCTTTTTTCCGCAGTGATTTCCACCCAGAATATTGCGGCTCCCATTCACTGCACCACGCAGATCCAAATGTGGCTGGAAAAAAGCCATTTGGGTATGTGATGCAACGGGCTGCCAGTAACTCTGAGTAGCTACTGCACAGTCCCTTCTGATAAATACCTGTCTCCACTCTTTCTATTCTCATAATGTACCAAAGCCTCTTTCTTGTTATACTTTCTACATCAAGAACTAATTCCTAAAACAATTTAGGTTATATATTCATAGAATTTTATATATGCAATAACAATACAAACAGCAATTAACCCATCTGAGAGAACAGATCAAGCAAAGTAGTTATCAAGTGACCAGATAAACAAGTTGAAAACAGCAAAGGTTCTAATTTCAATATTTGGATTCACAGGAAAATTATTTGTTGGGAGTTTCCTACCTCTAATGTTCATTACATTGCAGGAGACCCATTCTTTTCTTTATGAGTAGATAATAAAGGCAATTGGATTTACTCATGTAAATCAAATGGAGAAGAAAAGAAAACCCAGCCCCACATTCCAAAAACACATTGTGTGACAATGCTGTAGAGGCCATTGGGAGCAGCTCCTTCCTCTGGAACACCATCACATCTGCTCTCTGTGGACTAATGTGCCATAACATGCAATTTTGTGCTACATAAACTCATCCTGAATATGCTCTGTGAAACCTCTCATTCAAATGCTGTACAATTATTCCCACAACACCGCTTAGGGCCGTCACCATTATCGGTGATACTTTGGGAACACTGAAAAGACAAATAAATATTGGCAGTGGCTGATGCAGAATTGCCAAAGAAAGTGAACACCTGCCAAAAGAAGGCAGGTTCCTCCTCCTTCTTTTCCCAGTTTTCCTCTTACCACTTTAAGCAATCCTTCATAAGATGCTCATAATGTTTCTGGTTTCCTACACAGGTGCTATAGTGGGAAGTAAATGCAAAGACTGATTCCTATGGTCTTTATTTTCAGGCAATCTCTTCACAAAGATCCAACAGCCTGTTCTGTCCTAACAGATCTACCACCTGGTTTCAGAACAATTCCTGTCTGCAGAAAATAGAGCTTGCAATCTTTCTCCCCCAAATGGTCTTGATTACTCTGGCTATATCACCATTCAACCTGTCACTCAGATCTGTCATCTTCACATCATCTTCAGCTAACATTTTTCTAAGTTCACTGCAAGCCTGTGCTAAATCACACCAGTAATTTCCACTAGTGTTAACTTTGCTAAAATACAGCATTTCCTGTCCATCATCACAGCCTAAATTCTTGTCTTGTTCTTTCTTCTTGTCCAAGTTCTATCTCCTGTCTTCTTTTCTCATTCACTGAAAATGCTGCTGCAAAGAGTATTTATCATTTATCAAAAGTAATTTTGATCCTATCACCTCATTTTCTGTATTTCTTCTCTTTTTAATGTACTTTCAGACACACACACTGATCAATCAGTCTCGACAATGCTTCAGGTGTTTGTGTGCCAAGACCACTGCCAGCTCTGGTGACTGGTGTGACCTTAGAGGTTGTTTGTAGGGGTTTGTAGCTGTCTGCTGCATCCTAGACTCAAAGCTCCTTGGAGTGAGCAAGGAAAGGGAGTGATCTGCACTTTTCTCCCTTATTCATAATTAGTAGAAATGCAGGTTGATTTGCAGCCTATCCTAAGGCCTGTGCTACCATGGCTACATCATAATTGGCACTTCATTCCCTTAAAATGTGCTAAAGTATGTCTCAAGAACTGATGGGGGAAAACTAGGATGCTCCAGACTGATGCTAAGGTGGCCCAGAGGACACCACTGTGTCCTGCTCGTGTGTGAGACCCAACTTAGTGTAATAGTTGCTGCCTATTCAAGAGTAATTTTGGTCCTCTCACACTTTGCACTACACCTCTATTCCTTGTGGCATATACACACAACACTGCAATTAAAATTCTGCTCTGATTTCCAGTACAAACCACACTGTATTAGTGGACACCTTTTCTCTGAACTGACTCCTACATTCACTACATGCATTCTCTTATGATTCTTTTAGTGGAAGTGGAGAGGTACATTGGTTAATTGTGCTTTAATAGTAAATTTTGTATGTGTTAAAATATGTTCACTTAATTTGAAACACTGTTGAGTGTTTCAAACTAACAATTATCAATTATCAAAATAACAATTAACAATTTTGGATAATTTACAATTATCCAAAATCTGATACCAGTTTTACTAATGAAATAAGAAAATTGTTTCATGCATATAAAATTTTGATGCTTCCCTTGCTGGGATTTGTCTATGTTAATGAAATATTTAGATTAACCTTCAGCTCTTACCATTATTTTACAAAATGTTCAGACTGAGCTGTTGACCAACTGAATTTGAGCTGGTTACCCATGGCCTTTACCAGTATTTCACAGAACTCATGCCCTCAAGTCCCCTTGCTCAGAGCTGTGCAAGGCAGGAGGTCCAGTTCCAAATTCTTTCTGCCACAGGTGGCATAACATGGAAATGAAGAGATTGAAAACAGGCAAATTCCATTTTCACTTCCATAAAAGGCAAATCCGGGGTAGGGAACAGGAGAGTTCAAGGTTAATGATTAATGGGCAAAGAATTTCTTGCAAAGCACTGCTAATTTTGTCCTTTTCCCATCTCTTGGCAGAATTTGGCAGAACTCTCTTTCAGAGAAAGAAAAAATGAAAAGTTTGCAACTTCTTTCATTTTTGTTGCTTTCTTGTGTCATCGTCTCAGCAAATACATATGGAGAAAAGAAAAAAGGTAATATACTATCAAATATAAATAATGATCATGAACCTTTTTTTAAATGTTTATGCTATAAAAATGTAGTAGTATTGACTGATTGATCATCAGCATGTTGTGTTTGGGTGCTGTGTTCCCTTAAACTATGGCATTTATAACTGTCTGTGTTTATTGGAAAATGCAGTTGTTTGTAATTACAACAAACATTTCTCAGTAGAAATCCATACATTTGAGACTATAAACTTATGGTACTGTGACCCTTAACAAACTTCTGATGAAGCTAATTTTAAAATTTATTAGTTTGAAAATATACACTGGAGTGATATTGTCATAATCCTCTTGGGCTGGAAGTATTCTCTACAACAGATTCAGTCTCCTACTATGAATCAACATTTCTAGCTATCTGACAGTGTTTAAGCTTTTATTTTCTGAGTTGCCTTTCATCTCAAGTGGGAGGAACATCTTGGAGTGAAAGAGATACATCTGCAGTATGTTTTGTAGAGCAGCACTGGGAAGGATCTCTGTCACTGGTTGTACTCCCATTTCCTATGCATTTGTGTTATGCACATTGTGTCAGTGTCTGGGGGACTCTTAAGTGCATCACAAAACTGCATTTCTTGAAACCTCTCAGATGTGATTGACAAAGACAATTCCATGTTTGGCTTCATCATTGAGCCATACAGAGCAAGAATGAGCTTTCCTTCTTATTTAACTACATTTCTAATAGTCTAAGTCTGAAGGGGATAAATGTAGTTTTCTCTTTAGCTGGAAATAAAGCAAGATGTGCACATTCACAGAAGTATGGCCTCTTTCAGTAGCTGTGTTTTGCATTTATGTTAATTTGTATTA